CCCCCTTAAAAATAGGTTTTGAGTAATTTAAAGTTAATGGTATCTTGAATACATTAGAAAAAATGCTTAAAGTTGGATTTTAAATATCAAGCTTTTAAAAGTTTAAGGTGACTTTATCAACTCTGTGCAATTAGTTGAAATGACCAATGGATGACTTTACTATAAAACAAGAAGGTATTTTAGAGAGGGAAAAATAATATGCATATAATAGGTTCTGGTTACCTGTAATAAGTTGCATACATTAAAATGTGTGTATACAAATCTGTTATCTTAAATCCTTTACCAGAAAAGATCTTACCAGATTCCAAAAATAAAAACGATTTGGATTGTCCTTAGGTACTCATTGCAGAAGGCTTTTAACAAAGTGGTAACAGTATAAGAAATAAGGAAGAATAAAAAATAATTTTATGTCCCATGGTTCCTTTTGTTTCTCATGTTACTTTACTAATTTGATGCAGAGAAGAAAAATTTACATGTATAGAATGTTTTCTGAATGCATCTTTGGCATCCTTGATTTTCTTTCCCTGCATTTTTTACCTTTAGTCTTATAAAGTTCCAAGTGCTTTGGCACCTGCCTCCCAGGAGCCCTCCCCTGCTGCTTCTGCTGAGGCTGATGGCAAGGTCTGTTCTGATTCTTAATCTAAGCCTGCATGCCTGGTTGTTTGGTGCAACATAATCATCTGGAAACAACACACTGTACACTGAATAGAATATTAATTTGGGATATTGTGCTAAGGTTAGATTTAGTCTAACAAGAATTCTGAATTATGTAACTGTATACTTCATAAATTATTGTTGACATGCCTTTGCTTGCCAGATAGCAGAAACACACAGAAAAATAATTTAAAGAGGAAATTATCCTGCAGTTTTGAAATTCACACCATTGGTATTTAAATTTTGCTTGTTAAACTGCATGTTTTAACATATCTTTTAACAGTTAATTCAGGACAGCAGAAGAGAAACTAAAAATGTGAGTCTCTTGCTTCAGAATGGAAATGTACCTTTGGTTCTCACTGAAACACTGTCTTCAAAATCACTGAAGAAGCTGTTTGTGCAGTAGCATCTATCTCTTGTCTGTGTTCCATTTTTTATTGTTTTTCTTTTCTAATCCTTTTAAGATGGCATTCGTTCTAGTTTTAACATTTCTTTAAATAACAACAATAGGCTTTCCTACTAGTTTCGATTTTAATATTGTGGTAGGAAATTAAGATTCCAGAGGTGGAAGTTGTTATATGTTTGGACATTTCCTCTTTAAAAGTTCTGACATTGGTCCGGTACTAATGGATAATCCCCTCCTGCAGCTTCCTTATGCTTCCATTCAGTTTGCATTGTCACCTCAATGTGTAGCTTAAAATGTGCCTCAACAGCTTAAGCAAATTCAAAACAAAGGGGACTGGGAGAGTTTGAGACTGTCAATTCTTGAGAACTTTTTTTGGAGAAAATTATTAATCAGTAAACTATTCAGACCCATCCATATTTAGTTTTTTCTGCATTTAGCTCCTTTCCTCACTGTCCAGATTTAAGGTGCTGAACCTCAAAACTTTATAAATGTTTTACCTCTCTCAGCCCCCTGTGCTCAGGTTTTAGAGACCATCTAAATCATTGCTTTGGGTTTTACTTCACTCATGGCATCACCCTGAATTTGCTTAGTTTCCTTATAATTTCTATCATTCATGTGTAGTTAATAGGTATTTAAAGTATAATTACTCATTTTAAAATCAGTGTATAAATATACTGCCTGTATTTAGATATGGCCTATCTTAACAGACATATTAGAGACAAATTTGGGCCAGTGTTTTAATTCAGAAAGATACCCCATTCGCAATGACTTTTTAAAAATATGTTTCAGGTCTACAAATTATAATTTGACACCTGTATACACTTGTAATGTGATCGCCCCCAAAAGTCTACTTAACCGGTTGTCACCCTACAATTGGTCTTCAGATCTGTTATCTATGAGCTTTAAAAAAAAAAAACAAAAACATTTTTAAACAGTTGCCATAACGCATTTCTGTTAGAAGTTTGGAGGTCATCTTAACTCCATTTTAGATTAGAAGATCTTTTTAAAGAGCGTCTAAAAACACTGCTTAAGTGTTGATGAGTTACTGTTTTTCCCATTATCCTACACATCTTTTCTAACATATCCTAGAAAAGAAAGTGCAAGAGCACTTGTGGTTAATGGTAGTGCTAGATTCCTTTCAGCAGATCTTTTCTCAAGAGTATAGACATGAAGGAAATTTACATTGTGTTTATGTCACATCCTATGTTTTAGGCAGTTTAAAGTCACATCAGCCTAAGAATCGTGAGTGTGTTACAGAGTTTGTAGGTTTATCCTATGATATTTTGTTGACTGTTAAACTCTGAAGTTTTGGAAACAGGAGTTCACAGAACTTTTGGAGAGATCACAGTTCAACAGTGTGTAAGGTTCCTTTGAAAAAAAGCTGAATGGCAGCTGTTTTGTTTTTCATAGTGGTAGAGGAGTTGGAGAAGAGGAAGAATTTTAAAGTTAGCAAACGATAAAAACTCAGTCTACTGGCTGAGGCCTGGAAATTACAACAGAACCTCTTAGACAGCTCAGGGTTCCAGTTATACATGCCACCCGCCATCTCTTTCTGACCCAGTTATCTGTCTGAATAGATGAGATTCCAGATGGGTACAGGATGTGTGTTCTTGACTGCTGTCAAGGAAAATGAACTTTGTTTAGTTAAGGTCCGATAGGATACGATTGGAACAGATTTTGGAACGTTTTTTTCAGGTTGCATCTGGAGGTGGTGGGGTCGGAGACGGTGTTCAGGAACCAACAACAGGCAACTGGAGAGGAATGCTGAAAACTTCAAAAGCTGAAGAGTTGTTAGCTGAGGAAAAATCAAAACCAATTCCAATTATGCCAGCCAGTCCCCAAAAAGGCCATGCTGTCAATCTGCTGGATGTGGTAAGCCATGCAAATAGGTTCAGCACTAGTGAGATAACCCTGTTATTCGGAGAACACTTTAAAAGACAAAAGAAAAAGTCACAAAAACTTACTGAACTTAAACATTTATTGTTGAGAGCATGCGTGCAAGTAGGGGAGGAGCAGAGAGAGGAGGAGACAGAATCCAAAGCAGGCTCCAGGCTCTGAGCTGTCAGCACAGAGCCCAACGTGGGGCTCAAACTCACAAACTGTTATGTTAGATCATCACCTGAGCCGAAGTTGGACGCTTAACTGAGTCACCCAGGCGCCCCAAACTTACTGAACTTTTATTTGAAAATGGCACAAAAACAAAGTTTCTTCCCTTCACCCCATTTAGCCAGTTCCTGTTGCACGAAAACTATCTGCGCGTGAACAGAGAGACTGTGAGGTCATTGAGCGACTCATCAAATCGTATTTTCTCATTGTCAGAAAGAATATTCAAGACAGGTTAGTACTATAAATCAGAGCATATGTATACTGCTGGATAACTCCATAATCAGTTTTGAAAATACATGTATTTAAAACATTTTTAGGCTTTGATTCTAAGTTAGTGGATCATCTGATGGTTTTATTTTACAGTGTGCCAAAGGCAGTAATGCACTTTTTGGTGAATCATGTGAAAGATACTCTTCAGAGTGAGTTAGTAGGACAGCTGTATAAATCATCCTTACTGGATGATCTTCTGACTGAATCCGAGGACATGGCACAGCGCAGGAAGGAAGCTGCGGACATGCTAAAGGTATCGCAAATGCTTCTGAATCTTCACACCCGGGGCTGGGTTGTAGATATAAACACTACATTCTGATCCCTGGAGATACACAGTCATCACAGGATGGCTAGTCTATTTTTTTGCATAGTACTTGATTAGATTTTTAGACTGAAGGTACTAGTTGTATAGATCTGCCACATATAAAGGGGAGAGATTACTTCCTTTTTTGATATAACTCAATAAGCATCTATAATTTTTTTTATCTTTTTTAATGTAGGCATTACAAGGAGCCAGTCAAATAATTGCTGAAATCCGAGAGACTCATCTTTGGTGAAGAGAACTATATAACACTGAGACTTTGTTGACTCGAAATTTGCTAGTTACTGCCTACTTGAGTAGAATTTTATTTATGAACTCCTGTGTATTGCAATGGTATGAATCTGCTCATGTGAAGAGACTGGCTATAAACTGAAAATCGTACTCTGTATCACAGAACAAATCATACATTTAATCCAAATAATAAATGGCTGTTTCTAAAGTTGCCCCGTACATATAAAGTACACATAAAATACATCAAGTCTTTCTTGTGACAGTTTCATTTGAACTTAAAAAGAACTGTTCATGTTCTAGTCGTACAAGCAGTTTGCCTGTGGATAAGATGACCTGTGTAACCTGTGAGCAGTCTTAAAGCTGCTGCCATAGTCCTTGGAGAAGAACGCACGAAGACAACATTTCATACAACTATAATGCATGCACACTATAAACTGGTCTGGCTTTGAAAGGTGTGAGTTGACAAGTTACTCACAGTCACTGTAGTCCACCTATCCTTCGAGATCTACTTTTATTGAGCTTCTCTGCAACCTCTGATGTGTTAGTAAGAAAGCTGAAGGCACAAGAAGATCTGTAACACTGACGGTGATGTGCATGAGGTGTAGCTATTGCAGCCCTTCCACTTCCGGGTCCACGCTGCCCTAGTGCATTAAACATCTAAATTATCTTTGATTCTTTCTTAAACCTGCAAGCATGAATTCTACTTTCCTGCATTAAAAACAACCATCTAGACTTGATTTTCAAATATAATAGTAATTCCAATACATCTTTAAATTAGGTCACTCATGCTCTAAGATTCACTTGGAGGTGAGACTTAAAACCAAATACTGTGCTGGTCATCGAAGTATACGTCTCTATTAGTTGGTAACAGTTACTTTTGCTTCACACCAACGATACATTAGATTACAACAGATAGGAAGATACTGATGGAGCCTTATTATTTAAAGAAAAACATCTGGACAGACACACCTAAAGGCTTTTTACTACTAAAATACATTCAGAGTTTTGGGATGAGGTTTAGAACATACTCACATTTTATTAAAATTCCCCAGGTGATTCTTGGTATGAATTACATAATAAATTTTAAGATATGGGTCAAAATCCTTAAGGCATCTAGCTCCATCTCTAAAAGATCATATCAGCAATACAGAATTTACTGAACATGTTAACATTTCTGTTACAACAGTTATGAAGGACTACTGGCAGGAACAACGTGTTGGTAACGTGAGCTTATGGTACTCACGTACTAGCAAACAACGGGCTCAGCAACTGATCTCAAACATAAAAAACCAGATTCAATCTTAATGGTACTACTTTGAATCTGTTCATAGTACCTTCTTGATAGAATACATACTACCTAAATGTTCATTAGCACACACTTTAAAATCACTCTGCCATTATTCAATATCAGTACAGCCATCCCTGATTTACTCACTTCAGATACATCAGATGACTACCATCCCAGTCTTGAGTTTGTAAGGGGGGAGAAACTTACAGTGTACCATTCCCCAGCATATCAAACATAATTTCAAATTGAAAACGTTACCTTTAAAACTGAGGTGATGGTAATGTACTTGCTGGCACTACACACCTTGTACAAGAAAAGCAGAGGCAAGAAAGGTATGTCAAGTTTCAGAAACCCTTCATTTATTGGCTCAAACTGAGTGAAGCTCTGAAATGTGGCGATGATCTCTGACATTTACCACGGACGCCTGTATGTTCTTGCTATGTAAATAAAATTGCTGGTACGAAATGACATTCAAGTTTTGTCAATAAGTCAATTCTTCCTAACTTTGCTCCCAGGGAAAAATTTAGATCTACTAGCTTTTTAACATATAAATCTAATTGGAACATAAGACAGCTTATGCTATATGAAAAGTTTTATAACTTTTTTCCTATGCAATCTCACAATTCACAAAGCTACGATTACATCTCCATTTTTACATATCAGGCTAGTGATTTGTTTCAAGTATCCCAGGTAGTAAATGGCTAGAATTTGAACACTAAAGCCATGCTTTGCTGCCTGTAAGGTTTTCAAGAAGGAACCGGATTGTGAACCATTTGTATTTACGTTTCACTTGGTCTTCAGGGAAATAGGGATGATAACTACCTTGATTTTTCACATGTAGAAACAGTTCTGAGAATTGCCTTGCCTAATGTATGTACAGCTTAACTAGGTCTTGTTCTAAATCCTTTAAGTGTGACCTGAAGACTTCCCTTAGCAGAAGAATTACTTTGATATTCTCATATGATGGGGTATTTGATACTATATTTGCCGCTATTTTCTCTCTAGTTACTTTTCAGTTTATCTCAAGTTGTAATCTGCTTGGGGACAGAAGCTGAAACTTAAGTTTCCAAATTTATAAAATATTGCTACCTTAGTAATCTGGCAAAACAAGGCTGTGAGTAAATTTATACTGAAACACAGGTAAGAGACTGGAAAACTGAACTGGAAACTTTCTCAAAAGTACTGGTTTTTGTTCTTTGAAAAGAAACTTTCTACTGTAATTTCTACTCCCAACTAGGGCTTTGTGTAATACTTTTCTTAAGGAGAACTGTATTTGCTTCCTAAATGGCAAAAAATTCAGAAATCTACAGTTTCCAATACCGTATTTCACATCTCTAATGTGACCACTGTGGATGCTGCTGGTGTTATAAAGGTCAGGAAGATAGACACTTGGATATAAAAGTATCCAAGAGTCCTTATTCTGCCCTCTTTTTCACTGTTCTTCCTCATCTCTAAAAAGAGCGCAAGAAGGATACAATAGTTATTTCAAGAAATAGGATTTTTAAAAGAGATTATCTTCGGCAATTATGGTTTTCTATGATAGTCCTTAACACCTGCAGATCAGGAAACAAAATACCCCATCATTACACATTAATCAACCTATATAAATAATGAAATTACTCACACTCTGAGGCCTAAAGTATACTCCATTCTCTGTTGTTTGGCTTGTGTGAACGAAAGTATAAGTTCTGGAGCCAACCTTTGGTACATCTTGAGAATGAGATGGATACGTCTGAACCACCAGAAGGATTTTTCATCATAGCTGAAGCCATTTTATAATGTAGAAATTCCTTTTTCCTATTTTAAGTAATGAAAGTCCATTCTTAAGAATATGTTGTCCAACGACTAAAACACTCTCAGGATTTGTTACTTGTCTGTGATTTATACTGACTCCACCTTCTGTTATCATCCGATACCTAAAAATAACAGTGTTTTAATTAGATAAATCCATCACCACTCACCTCTCCCAATGATATTTCATTTATATTTCAGAGGCTGTCCAACTAAAACCACTTAGCACTGAATTGTTACCTTTATGTTCACTCTAGATATCTGCCCCCCTTAAATGCTCTTCTAAAGGAGATTTAAGGCACAGTTTCTTACTTAGTAGAGAAAAAGCTGGGATATCCCACAGCTCTATATAGAACTATTCAGTTGGTAGTGATTTAAAAATGAGTAACAGAATCACTTTCTCAAGCCAATTCCCCCCCTCCCCACACTTTGAGTAGGGGTTTACAGAAAAGAAGCCTCCCGACAGAAAAAGGGCAATGCTGCTTTTAATGAGCTTCCATGAGCTACACGTCACAACTATATATGCTATTACAAAAACCTTTACAAAACTTGCTTATGAGACTGGAAGAACCTTGGAAATTCTATTCTGAGACTATGCAAATAATAGCACATTTTGTTAAAATGTTAAAAAGCAGAACTTTTTTAGAAAAGTGAAATGGGCTGATTTCAGAAATGGAAAATCAGTAGCTTATCTAATTCCAGTTTAGCAACAATTTTTTGATGGCATATGTAAATAGGTTTTACTCACATTATTTATGGCCCAGTTCATTCAATAAACATTCATAGAGCCTTTACTACTGAAAACTAGTGGGGTAATCCAGACAAATAAATAATTACAGTGATTAAATGCTATAAAGCCCCAGGAAAGGTTGCTCTAGGAGCACACTGGGTGCATGGGGGTTGGAAATTTTCCTGAAAGAAGAGACATGTAAACTGGAGAGTAACAGTAAATTTCACAAACGGTGAGGAAACATGGGGAGTAGCTAGAAAGCAGTGAACTCTGAGAAGAAAAGAGGTCTAGAGTATGAAAGGCCTTGGAAGTCCTGGTGAAAGGCAAATGTTCATTTTCTCTTAACGTGTTACCAAATGAAAAAAAATGCTACAACCCATGGTTTTTTAAAATTACAGTAAAACATCTTCTGTTTAAGGACAAATTTCTTTCTCTTAGGAAGTGTTATTTTGGGCTATTTGCTACAGTTTACAGATCAATTTCTACATTTTGTTTAAATGTACAAGCCAATCTTACTCAGCTTCTACAATGTAAACGAATGTCAGTGTTACTTAAGAACTCTGTCAGAATCAGATACGGTGTCATCTTTAGTGGTACAATTTCCAGTATCAGTAAATAAACCACTAGAAAAGTTCAGTAACTGGTCCCTTAAACAGAGTCCTTTCCATGCTGAGGAGAAAGTGAGTTAGACTTAAGGAGAGACGATATAGTAGTACCAGATTTTATAGAAAATTTAAAGGATTTTCGACAATAAGTACTCAGTTTTCACTTTATTCTGGGATTAACTTCTGCCAGAAATGAGACCCCCATTGAAGCATTATCAGGAAAACACCTTCTGGAAACACATGCTGTGAACTGTAACATTTACTGCCGAATTAACTGTGGATCTAAAAGTTAAATAATCTTACCCTCGGGGACCATCTGGAATGGCATTTGCTTTGCGGCATGTATCTAGGACACTTGTTCCTGGGTCAAGAACTAGTTCAGAAAACGAAGCTTCTTTAAACAGCTCTTTTAGCTCTTGGTCAGACATGACCTCCAGTGCGTCTATGCTACTATGGTAAAGGGCTTGAGTACACCTGAAATACACATTGAGAACCACATCACGTGAGCGCCTATCCAGACACATGGGCTAGTACCCAGTAACCAATTATGGAGTGCCCATTATGTTCCACACTGAAAGGTTTTGAAACAGCAACGTTTATCTTACATAATTTACACTTAATTCAAGGTGATCTTTCTTTCCAACAGAAGCTATTCTACAGTACTTAGGTCAACCACTGACAATTCTTGTTAGTGGTAAATAACAAACCTAATGAATTTTCTCAAGTCTACTAATTACATTAACTTTATCCACTTTTAGTTATTCTAAAAGGCCACCTTTTAGCAGAAGCCAGCCCTTCTTGTCCATGAACAAGCTTTGTAACTTCTGCAGCAAGTCGTTTTTGAGGACCCCGCTTTTCTGGCTCTTTCTCATGCAGCTGCATTATGTGGTCAATCTCTGGAAGGGGCAGAAAAGTGAAGAGCTTCAGGTACCTTTGGGGCAAAAAATACAGTGTTAGGTATATATAAATAACATATCTAATTTTTATCTCTAACTCCCTTACCCTTTAAAAATCATCCTGCCTACTTTTAAATTCATTCATTCATTCATTGAGAGAGAGAAGCATAGCTTCTCGGCCTTTTGGCTAAGATCAAGTGAGAGAGAGAGAAGCAGGTGGGAGAGGGAGGTAGAGAGAATTCCAACAGGCTCCGCACCGTCAGCACAGAACCCAACGCGGGGCTCGATCCCATGACCTTGAGATCGTGACCTGAGCCGAAGTGAGGACACAGATGCTTAACCAACTGAACCACCCAGGTGCCCCTTTAAATTTATTTTTAATTATGAAAAATAAACATGAAGAAAAGTACCCAAAAAAGACACCCATGCACATACCACCCACACTGAGGATGTTACTATTTTGCCATCTTTGTTTCCAGACCTTTCTTTTTGAAAAAGAAAAGCACAGCTCTAGATCCCAGCACTACCATATTCCCCTCCTCGCCCACAGAGAGAAGCTAATCTAAATTTGTGCCCATCCTCCCTAGGGATGTTTTAGTACTTTTATGTATATGTGCCCATAAATAAAAAATTTGTAACTTCCTGACATACTATTTTGTGTATCCTCTTTTTAAAATAAAACACATAGAAAGACATAGAAAACTATGCAAATCACATAGTTTAATGAATCAGAAAGCAAACATCTACCATCACCTGTCTAGAAATACATCATTGCCTCCACCCACCGAAGCCCAAATTTATCACATCCTCTTCCTCTCCAAATTAACCACTCCTTCGCCTTTCAAAATCATCACTTATTTTTCTTTATACTTTTACCATTTCAGTACCCCTCCGTAAACAGCTTCACTTTGTTTTGCCTGTTTTCAGGCTTTATATAAACGGAATCATACAGAATACATTTTTGTGTTTGGCTTTTCTGCAGATTATGTTCAGTAAGAGGCTCATCCATGTTGTTGGGTGAATAGCTGTCACGTACAGCATTCTGTGCTGTGACCGTTTCCACGATATATTTATTTATTCTGTGTTGTTTCTACTCTTGGACAATTACTGATAATGCTGCTATGAATATTCCCATATATTTCTCTTGGTGCCTGTGTGCACTGATTTCTTTTGGGGACATACCCAGGAGAGGAACTGCTGGGTCACAGGTTATGTACAAATACGGGTTTAATAAGCAGAGACACGTATTTTTCTTAAGTAGTTCTGTAAGTGTAGCATCGGTACCTGACATTAACCCTCTGACAGCCAAGGCATGCATTTCAAAGCCCCCCACCTCAAATAAACATACTGCCAGCTGCATGCCACAGCTAGCAGCAAGTCAACTAGACAAAGCACCAGACTACTGACACGCATGAAGCTCCTCTTTTAGAAAGCTCTGGGTAACCTAGATAACTGGCTGCTTGAGTGATGCTGTTTCTCCCTTCCCACTTCCTAATTTCTGCTGTTTTAAATTTGCCAGTAAAGAATGAACTCACAAAGTCCTTAGGCACTTCACCCTTCATCCCAATAATGCAGAGCCCCTGGACCACACTCTGTTCCTCTCTCTCTCTCCCTATCTGAGACCCCAGAATGCCACGGACCCTCCAGAACTTCTGAGTCATAAATCTTGTTTTTCGAAGTTCTCTGATGGTTGTGGCTGAGGTGCATCCTGCAACCGTAAGAACCCTTAAGGCAAGTCTAGCCACAAGACGAACTCACAAGAGGCACTCGGCTCAGGGAACCATCTCTAAGCGCAGCCACAAGTAGTCAGCCCAGGTGAGTGTCCCCAGGCATTTCTAACCGCTGGCACCACTATCAATAGTCTGAGAGCCAAACAATTGGTAGATGGTACAGTCAAGGGGACTGTGTGATGATAGCACTTGTAGTTAACCTACGGGAACGCGTTTAGCTTCAACTATCTTTTTTTTTCCTTCAAAGTTTATTTTTATTTGTTTTGAGAAAGAGAGAGAGAACGAGCAAGCAGGGGAGGGGCAGAGAGATACGGAGGCAGAATCCCAAGCAGTCTCTGCATCATCAGCGTAGACCTTAATGAGGGCTTGAACTCACAAACCATGAGATCCTGACGTGAGCCGAAATCAAGAGTTGGAGCCCAACAGACTGAGCCACCCATGAACCACCCCCAGCTTCAACCACCTAACTAACTGTGACTGGCTAACCCAGATGGTAACACCATTTGGGAAGGCAGCACCACTTGCTGGAGGTCTACTGCACTCTTCCGTGCTTCTGCATATTGCCTCTGCTGTGTGTTTCCTGTCACTGCTACCATAATAATTCACTCTCCAGTGCAATGTGATTTAGGCTATATGGACTAATGAGATGATAAGACCACTAATTATAAAGGCCTTTACTGACTAATAATGTACATGAGGGTCCTCCCTGCCTTGCGCCAAGGACAGCTAGTGAAGGCAGAGTGAATCCCAAGGCTGAGATTGCTGCCCAAGATGAGGCTTTGGGCTAATGGTACCGAGGAAAGGGTACTCCAGTAGATAAGGAGGAGTGAGAACTCCCCTAGTGACCACTGAGTGGTGGGTCACAGTGGGACTATGTGCCCTAACCCAGATACACAGAACAGCCTTGTAACAGGAAACCAATGGCACCATGAAAGGAGACATTCACTGAGGCTTGCTGTCCCCACATGGCCACTACACTCACCATCACTTTGTCTCCCTAACCCCATGGGATATCATAAGTCCAGTCTCCGGTGTGATGTTGCTAAACAATTAATAGACAAACACAAATGTCCTGAACATCTTATGCCAGTGCCTCTTAAGACCCCAGAGGGGGTACATCAGCTCCAAATAAATGCAAAATTTATTTAACAGAGATGAAAGCTTCCTGGGCATTGCTTAGTGCCACTAGGTACCAACATGCCAAGGCTCTGCTATTTGCACCAATAGGAAAGCCAGGGCTTTCCCAAAGGTCCCGTGTACACTGCGCTAGTGGAGGCAGATGCCAATCCTGGGGAGGGCAACTGGGACACCCTGGAAAGGAATGCAGCCACTTATGAAGTGGGCTCACGGACATTTTCCAGAAACTTTTTCTGGTAACAACACGTTAAGATCAACGTAATGAAGAAAATCAGAAAGTAACAATTAAGGCATCAGAAATTATGCCTTAACTGAAATTCTAACCTTAAAGATTTTGTGCAGCAGGAAGGATAGAAGGGAGCTAACTGGCTATTACAGGTTTGTGGCCTGTGATTGAAAACTGTTACTCATGGCTGAACTGCACAACAGGCCAGTCTCTCTGAAGACCCTAAAATCTATAATCTTCTCAGAGAACAGTCCAGCTACATGTCTGTTTCCTTTGAGATACCACATCCTGAGCCCCCTAGGCTTTCCTCCCCAAATGGGATAGAACAAAGCAAAATGTCTCAGGGAGTGCCCCTGGTACCAAAGGAAAAGCTGACCTGGTTGTTGAGGCCACTGATGAGGATGAGGATGGGTAAAGGAAGATGGAGCCCCCACAGCCACTGATATTTGTACCTACCCCCCCACCCTGGATATTTACTGCCTGGTGCTGTGCTCATCCGTTCCTGACAGAAATCACTAAAGCTAAGGCTCACAGTGAATGGGAAACATTAGACTAGGCCTGTCTCCTGTAGCAAAGTTGGCATGGTCCCGTATGTTTATCATTTCAATGACCATATGACCCGAATGACACCCTCTTCATTTCTAAACCTGACAAGGCCTCAAGTGACCCCGAGTCCAGAGTATTACTCTGTAAGGCGCTCCCCCTAACTACAGGGCAGTGCTACTAATTTTAATGGGACTGCTGAAACCATGTGAAAGGCACTGGGGGGCACGGGCATGGTTGCTAGACATGGAGGAGGTTACTATCCAGGTACCTGGACACTTCAGATCTATGCCCTTCTACCCCCGCTGCCCCCTTGAACAAATTTCCCTCAACAAAAAGGGCTCCCAACTCCAATAAATCCTCAACTTAATTTTGCCCTTTATGAAAACACACAGGTTAACCTCTTCTGGGAGTTACAAAATCTCAGTGTTCCTGGCCACTTAGTATCTAGACAGCCAGTCTCTAAACTCTAGATCCTAACACTAACATTTTCCCATCTATAGCCCCCTTCGGCCATTCACCCTCTTGCCACTCAGCTGCCATCCATCCTGACTTGAACCCAGTCTCTGCAACTGCCTCTGACCTCTTCTCTAAAACCCAGGGCTGGCAGCCACCTAAGCCTCTACCACAGGGAGTTGGTGGCTCCCCAGGACTCATCATCCCACCTCCCAGAGACAGTGGCCCCTATACCACTCTGGTAGTCCCCTGGGTCAATGAAAATGTCCCTAAGGGGGACTCTGTGAATGAAATGTTGCAAGAATCACAAAGTACCAAAGACATCACTACAAGCATGAAACCTACAGACATCACAATGACTCTAAACCTGTATCTTTCAATAATAACACTGAATATAAATGGACTAAATGCTCCAACAAAAAGACATAGGGTATCAGAATGGATAAAAAAAAAACAAGACCCATGTATTTGCTGTCTACAAGAGACTCATTTTAGACCTGAGGATACCTTCAGATTGAAAGTGAGGGGATGGAGAACTATCTATCATGCTACTGGAAGTCAAAAGAAAGCTGGAGTAGCCATACTTATATCAGACAAACTAGACTTTAAATTAAAGGCTGTAACAAGAGATGAAGAAGGGCATTATATAATAATTACAGGGTCTATCCATCAGGAAGAGCTAACAATTATAAATGTCTATGCACCGAATACGGGAGTCCCCAAATATATAAAACAATCACAAACATAAGCAACCTTATTGATAAGAATGTGGTAATTGCAGGAGACTTTAATACTCCACTTACAACAATGGACAGATCATCTAGACAGAGAATCAATAAAGAAACAAGGGCCCTGAATGATACATTGGATCAGATGGACTTGACAGATATATTTAGAACTGTGCATCCCAAAGCAACAGAATATACTTTTTTCTCTAGTGCAC